TGCTTAAAGATCTTCCAGCTGAGGCCCAAGTTGAAGAACATTTGTTGAGCGTCAACATTTAAAATCAAACCCCAAAACACTCAGAAACCATTGAAACAACTCACCTCAAATGACTGGTTCAAAATACTTCTGGTTTGGAAATTTTTCCAAGATTTTGCCTTCCATCCTGATTTGGGATAGGAATTAATTTTCAAAATTCTCGATTTCTTCTGGCACAAGAAACCTGTTTTTGTCAGATCTACTTATTCACATCCTCTACACAAAAAACAAACAGTACTATTTTATCCTTTCACCATGATCATAAAGCAGATAATTAGTCCCCAGAAATGATTCTCTCCAGATATGTCATTATCCTTAAAAGGATCAGCCAAAACTAACAACAGCCAAAGTCACTGCTTTTTGGATTTTTATGTAGGATGTTGCTTTCCATCTATTGGTATATTATTACCGGTGATGAATGAAACACATAACGCGCATGCTCATTCGGACATCTGCAAGCTTTAGATGTCTATTGGAAAGTAGTTGACTTGCTTTGGTTTACAAACTGGTATAAAATTTTACAGAAATATGCATCTTATAGTATGGGCGGTAATGACCAGACAGCTTTTCAAACATCAGAAAAAAGTACTTAATATGGTTGGTTAGAATTGAGGCACAAGTTAATGCCTGGTCTGATTTAAAACCCAGCCCTCGTTATTATAGGAAAAAAATATGTTGGTTTTGTTTAAGACACAAATAATAAGTGAATTTGACTATAAATAGATCATCTAATTTCAGTATCAGAGCTGGCAAAGTGAAGAACATAAGCAGAGATTTTCCACATGATCAAGACTTGATTATCCAGCCTCCATGGATTTTCAACTCACGTTTGTGCCTTTGGAAATCTTCCCCTCAATAAGCCACATAAAATGATTTTTAAATGATATTTTCCCTATTCTTTCAAGTTGAACAAGTTAAGGAATGGTTAATTACACAGGGGAAGGAAATTACTGGTTTTTAAACTGCTGTTATTTATCCTAACAGCATCCCTTTTAAATTAAATAAAAGAAAAAAAAAAAGTTGTATTTGGACTTGGGGACACTATTTCCCATATAAATGGAAAGTTGCAAACATCATACTGGTTTAAATGATAATAAATCAGCCTGGATCCTGAAGCCTATTTATTATGTTTGGGATTAACAATAATAAAACTAAAGCCTCCTGCAATATTCAGAGGAGGTATTTAATGGAAATGAAATGAACTTCCACAGTTTGATTTTGTGCTTAGTGCATTGTCATATTTTGGGACCCAAGGCACTTCTAAAGTTACATTACTTGAAAAGTTGTAATAAGTGCATTCAAGTGCAAATTGACATATTTTTATCTGGGGTTTATACAACCCTGGTGGTCTAAATTTGCTCCTCCTGCCCTTATATATAAATTCACACACATATACTTCTTTACACACTTCTTATACATGGGGACCCATAGCTTTTCTCTTAGGATCTCCCTAACTAAGCAAGAAGCATCTTGCACGCTGTAGGAGAGAAGTCACTTTTACACTTCCTTGTTTTTGCATTTTTCAAGGCAGAGAGGTTTTCAAAAGCCAAAGTGGGTGCTATGAATAATATTTAAATGCTGTATGTTGGTTCTAAAATTAAAACATCATTTCCACATGTGTATGATTTTAATCTCCCTTTCATATCCCGACAGTAAGGGTGCGTCTACACATTGCCTTATAGCGTATGGCATGCAACGGCAATGCAGCAATCACCCATGTAGTGTGGCTTTACATGTGATCGCCAGCTACATCATTGTAGCGGCGTGCTCCCCAGTTACAGTGCACCACTACAGTGATGTAGTGGTCAAATCTAAGCATGCGCCATACTAAACCACGGCATTGTAGCAAGGGCACCGTATGATAATGTGTAGATGTGCCCTAAATGAACTACATTCTCTAGCACCCTTGCCTCTCTTGAGTAAAATAGTCCAGCTCAGGTGATACTATTATCAGTATTTTATGACCAAATTAAAATCATGTGTAGATTTATTTACAGAGAGAAACTTGCACAAACTTCAGTTAAACATAGGATTACCCCCAAACCAAACATTAAACTTACCTCAGCTACTAAAAGGAGAATGATAGTACAGTGAGATACAGGTTTCTTGTCTCCTTAGTCAGAAAATAAGTTTGGATGCATTTGAAGTCAGGGTTTTAATTCTGGCTGCAGAACCCCAAACATGTCATGATCAGATGATGACTGTGCACTGCAACCTCACCTGGGGCAAAACACCATCAACAATACATCCTGTTCTTCATGCAAATATTCCTAATAGTTTAAGCACATGTGGTTATTGGAACAGAAAATGTATGAACAGAATATAAACTATTCTATAAACAGAATTATTTGCAATAAGGAAGTTTTCTATGATCAGGTCAGTGGTTTTTTTAGGCAAGATGTAAACAGGAATATTTCGCAACCTTATCTGGAAGCAAAACTCGTCGGTGTTCTTTCTGTGGGTCACGTTTGGTGCGATGCTGACACACAGATGTATAATGTAGAAGGCACAGGATCAACATCATTATAACAGCTATGCAAGATGATGTTAAAAAGCGGCCAGTCAGGCTCACTGAAAGGGACCACACGCAAACCAATTGGAGACAGATTTCAGGTAAATCCGGGCTGACTTCAGGTGAAAAACATGCACATGAAACACAGCCTGGGTGAAATTCTACACCTACAGCTCCCAATTCGCTTTACGGCTTTCACTACTTCAGACCTGAAATCTGTGAAAACACAGGGATGTGAACCAATGAGAGTTGGAGCAAGGCCGAATGTTTTCGTGGGCCTCAAAGCACCAGATTTCATTTAGCTCTACTTTCCTACACTTTTCCTGTATCCTTTCATTGGAACATATTAAACCCCCTTGGAGGAGTTCACCGTTCCAAGTTCTCTCTTACACGGCAGTAAGTGGAATTACTAATGAAAAAGAATTGACCCCCTTAAAAAACGACAACACAAAACGAAAACCAAACCACAGCGCATGTATCTCGAGAATGAAACTATCTGCTAGTTGACTGAACTATAGGTTCAAGGCATTTTGTAGGGATGAGATGTTGAAATATGAGGCTTCCTGCTCCCAGAACATAAAAAGAGAGGAATCATGGAAAGAAAAATAAACAGACGGTGAATGGTGATGTTGGTCGAGCAGACCGAGTGTACATGACGAGTTGAAGTTTTTACATCTGACAATCATCTATCTTAACCTATACCCACCCCACACACCCCTACTCATTCCATTGTGAACCTATAACCTATTCTAAAAGAACCAGCCATCTCTAAAACATGATTTATCCTTTTCTGTGTGTCATTTATTACACTGAATATGCATAGTTAACTTTCCCCTCCATTAAGTGCCCTTGTTGAATATATGGCCAGTGTCAGTGGAGTCTTGGGCACTAAAGAAATATCTGCTGGTGTTTTCAACCTGGAAAAAAATAGTGAAACACTGAATATTTCTCTTTCTTTCAGCAAACAATTAAGCAGGTCATTCATCTATACAGATAAAAAAACAACACCACTTACATCCTGAAACTAAGATCCCATGTTCAACTGCTGCGATTGGACATCTCTCTACTGAGGTCACTAGAGTTCTACCAAGTCCTGGAAGTTTAGAACTCAACCCACCTTAGAACTTGTCTGAAAGCGATGAAAATATTAAAATTCATGCAACCACAAGAGTTATTCACATATCCAGCAACCAAAAATGTCAAGGATCTCATTTCATTTCTGATGGCTGTTGAGCTACTAAGTGAACCTTGCCATTTTGCCTTTTGTCTCAGCTAGCATCTCTATCCCTGGCAAAATATTTCCAACGGAAAAGAAAAAAACTGTTTATGAAGTCAATGAGAAGTCTCACTGTTTTGCAAGCTCTAGTGATTTTTATCATCGTCTCATGCTATTTGGTAATTTTGTGAGAGCCTCATTTTTCTTTTATAAAGAAAAAGCTAGTTTCAAGTCTTCATCATGGTGGAAAAATAGCACGTAAATATGCCCCCCTCCCCAAAGTTTGCAAAACCAGGAGACAAATCCAAAAGTATCTCATGCTTTTGATCATGATTCTTTATTCTTACTTGATTTTTTTAAAGACATGCTCATGTTTTTTGAACCCTGAGGACTGACAGTATTAAAGCAGATTCATTCTCTCTTCACGTACAGATGTGGCAATAACACTCCAACCCAAACACCATCTGTTGTCTTCAAAATCCTCATTAAAAACAGCCGCCTGCTGGTGGTAGCTAGCCAGCAAATACAAACTACATAACGCATATGCACGGACCATGGACCCATGCTCGACTTGAGGGTACATTATTAAACAGAGCAAAATCCAATAGCAGGGGCAAGAAGCATTTTTATTTCTCACTTCTTTCATTTGATTTCCTTTCCTTCTTGTGTTTCATGAACACCACTATGTTTGTGAAGAAATCATTCATTCCCAGCTTGCCAGTGGTATGGAGCAGCCAAAAGACAATGTTTCGTTGTAGCCCACCAGTCAGTAGGCAGGCAATTTCCATGCAAGCCCAGTACCATAATGACTCAAGGCCATTCTGAACAAGGAGTTAGGGCAAATCGAACTCTTTAATCCTAGCCCACTAAGGAAAGTCCACTCACACTACTCCGTGCACAATGAACTCACTCCTGTGTTAAGGAGAGGGAATAAAAAAAAAAAAAATGTAGGACCAGCTTTTCAGATCGATCCCTGCTGAGTATTGTGGATGGAGGCCAGTAGAGAATTATTGCTATTACCTTCCCTATGTGAGAGAGAGTTGGCACTCCCAGGTTGAATGCTTCCCAAATTACTGCCAAACTCTTCAACACATGTACAGATCTGGCTTCTGAATGGTCCCTTTAGTCCTAGCTGGATGTCAGGTGGTGTACGGTTACCTACCAACATGACGAAGTATCCGTGCCATTCCCTTCCTTAATGCAAGCCCCATGGCTGGGTATCAATGTCGATGCCCCCAGCCCAGTTCAACGGCAATGTCTCTGCAGGATCGGAATGTTTTTTTCCAAACAGCTCCTCCTCATGGATATGCTTCGCGCATATGCGTCTGGCCAGGAGCTCAGCCATTTATTTTTCCTCTCGGTAGGCACATTTAGAGCTGTGGGTGGCCTCTCCTGTTTAAAATAAAGCCAGGAGGAAGCTTTGTTCTTTTCAGACTCAAAAACAGAACATCTGCCCTAGGCTACGGAGAGCAAAAATGTAGCACATTTTTCTGCTGATAGATGGCTCTCCTTTGCTCCCCCAACACCTCAAAATGATTTTTTTCACCCTTGTTATGGGGAGAGTGGGTGATGTTAGTGCACACACACACACACACACACACACACACACACAAAGAAAGGCTCTTAAATGGAGAAAGTTCTCCCCTTTGAAATTGTGCTATGAATAAAGAGGCCAAAGCAGAGGAAAGGATCACCTCTGTGGACTACTTTATGGTTTCATTTGCAGACTTGGATAGGGATGCCCACAGGTAACACCATCCGGTGGCTGTGAAATAATTGTCATTTCCAATTTGTTTTTAGGGTCTATCACCAATCCCCCAAACCACCAGGACAGAGAACAAGCTGAATGGACATGAACAATGAATGCCCCTGTTGTAGCTGGACTTAGAAAGGTACATTGGCATGACAGTACGGGGCCAACTTTAATCGTACTGCAGTCACGTTGTCCTAATGCAGTCTTCTTAAAGTCCTTCTTCTTGGTCATTTGTGGTGTTGCCAAATGGTTCCAGTCACTAAGTCCTCACTCCATTCAAGGGCACAAAAAAGCCTGAAAGGACCAAGATAAATTACTTCCAGTGGCTCCTGACTTGTGTCAAAACACGTTGGCGAACTCCCACAAGAACTAATTCCAGTCTCGGTAAGACAACTCTTTCTGCAGTCCTTTAGCCCAGCCCATTAGCTAGGTAGATTATTACATAATGAAGACTAGTTCATCTCCACAATCTCCCCAAACCAGGACATACTGGCTTCTGTCCTTCTATTAGCCAATGTATGCCTTTCATTTTTATAACAAATAAAAAAGTAAATACTGCTCCTTTTCCAATTGAAAGTATTGTCTGTGTGTGCAGTGCACAATTATTTTTTAACATTAGCAAAAACTGAACCGATGTCATTGCATCATAGTGGGGTCACCAAACTTGACCTTTCTATTGGCTATTGTTCCTGTTATAAAGAAGGATTCTGGTTCTACAAGGATGTTTCTGGTCTCACGTTTTAGGCCTCACCCTAAAAATATACAATGCAGCGCGACTCTACCTTGATTTACTTGGTGTTCAAAATACCACTGCTTCACCCAGCTCATTACATCCGACATAAACCCCATTTTTCTGTCTGGAACTTGGCTAGCTCATGGCAATTGGTGCTTCATTATTGCACTCGTCTTAAGTGGAAGAAGGTTCTATTTTTTTAAATGCCATTTTACAGACCATTAATCCATAATTTGGACTTAAGCCTTTAGCTGTTGATCTCCCTGGTGATTCTGTTATTTACCGACTATGAGTAGCAGCTATTTTTCATGGCTGTCTTAAAGAAGACATTGCACCCTTTAGAGGCATTACGAGGCACCCTAGCAGCCCTGACACTATGCAGTGTTTGATATCTTTAATCCATGCTAAAAGAAATACAGTGATTTTCACAGTGACTCATACATGCTAGAGTGTTATATATATTATATATAATGTCTTTAATATGCATCCTTATTATTCTTACTATGGCTTGGATATTTCCACTCTAATGGCTTTCTCCTACTAATGCTGAATCAAATAGCTTTTGTGTAATGGCTAAACCAGCAGATCTGCAAGAAAATAAGACTATAAGTAGTCCCATAATGGTCCATCTAGCCCAGCAACCTGTCTCTGACAGTAACAGTAGTAGCAGCTTTAGAAGGATAATATATAGACAGGACATCCATCCTCTGCTGTACTCTCTCTGGCATTCGCCATCATTGGTGGTGGGATGTCAGAAGATACATGCTGGGTTGTTCTGTTTAATAGCTGTTCAAGGGACCAGTCCTCCATGAATTTCTCTAATCCTTTCTTTGAACTTGCTTATACTATCTGCCTTGAAAACCTGCTGTGGAAATTAATTCTACAAAATTTCTACTGACACAGCACTGGTTCTGCAGCCAGTTCTTCTATCAGTTGGGAAGCTTGACTTTTCAGTTAGCTTTTAAAACTAATGGCAGCATTAAAATACTAGCTTTTCAGCCTGGCCCAAGAGGTGGATATATAATTGTGTCTATCAGTATATACAAATAACAGGTTCTGTCAGCTGTGTGTACAAATCATAGTGATCCAAAAGCGTTGTTCAGGTCTACCCATGCTATTTGCTCATGGAAATATCAGGGCAAACAGTTGCCCGAACCTCATGGCTCATAGCACAAGCATGATCCGTTCTGTAGCCAAAGATACATGAGAGAGGGATGGGGCAATCATTGCATAGGGCTGCCTTTGGCTCTTTAGTCTGAAAGACCAGGTACCTATTTACAGCTGGGTCAACCTTTGACAAAAGTTGAGAGTGGGGTTTAAACTCATGTCTCTGGAGCTGTAGCTAGACACTTCAAATCACTCTGCCGTTGTGCCCCTAATCATGAAAATAAGACTCTACATACCATCTAAGAAACCAAAAGATAACTTAAAAAATCTAAACAAAGTAGAAATCTTTTCATGAGGCAGACAGCTAAATGCAAAGACCCAAACTCATTTTACAATTTTATCCTTAATTCATCTGCATTATGAACAAGTAGTTATGGGGCTCATAAGAGGAATCTAATGCAACGTGGGGTAAAGACATAGCTATAGCTATAACTCAGCATTGCTGTTATTAGTTCAAAGTGTATACTCTGATACTCTGTGAATATAATATGCAGGAGGGTAATGGAACAAAACATGCAATATTGTGAGAGGACTCTCTAACAATTAGTGTCCTGGAAATGAGGAGGACTTAATGTGAACACACAAACAAAAGGGGTGGGGCAAGGGGTGGATACCAGGCGTGAAGGCAATACTGTACTGGATCAGGACCGTGGTCCATCTAAAATGCAAAATATGACCTCCAAGCCTAACCAGTACCAAATGTTTCATAAGAAGGGGCAAGAAACTTACAGTCCAAAGATGAAAAGGCCTGCCCAAAGGTTAATGGATTAGAAAATGCCATATGCCCAGAAAACTTGAAATCTCAGGTTTTGTCTGATAAATCCCTCAGGCTTGATGTGCTTCCAGCATGCCTTCTCCTCCTCTGTCTTGTGAGGCACTAAACATATCCAGTGGTATACTTAGATCCAGGGTTGCGTGGTATGTATAAGCATAATTAAGAACAAAAAACTCTTCCAACAGTAGCAGCAATGCCTCACCACATAGCTCAAGAAAGTGGAGAATTAAAAAGTACTCATTCCAATTACAGGGCCTCGAACGAGCCCTGCATTATTATTTCTCATCACTACCTCCCCGAGTCGGGAGCGGGTAATTTGTGCACGTGTTGCCTTCCTTGGATGCGGTAGCCATTTCTTGGCTGGTGCAATCGCCTACCCTGGAAATCTTCAAGAGGAGACTAGACAGTCACCTTGCTGGGGTTATCTTTCCTGCTTGGAGTAGGTGGCTGGACCCGAGGTCCCTTCCAGGCTTACAATCTATGAAAAAGTAGGTGGTGATGAAGGAGAGGTCCTCCAGAAAGATACTCTCAGTGCAAGTTTCCATGGTTTAGTTTGTGTTTTGGTTTAGCAGGGAAGAACTCCATGGCGGTGTGTTGTTTTAGTGGTTGGAATATGACATAAAGTGAAAACCATAAGTTCAAAGTGTCTAGCTGTTTACTGGAATCCCACCACCCGAGAACTGGCATTGAGTGCAAGATTACTCATCTGTGTTAACTCTTGGATAAACATTTTCCCGTTGAGTGTAAGGTTGGGCTGCACATTCCCTGACAAAACCCTGTGTTCAAAAATAAACAGAATGTATGTCTGAATTATGGGTTTATTTTTTAAAGATATATTTAGACGAGGGCAGCTCATCATGACACGTTCGTTTTCCAAACTGGGCTGCTCCCCTTCTGGGAGGATATAGGAGCGCCCCCTCCCCAAGAAAACAAAGATCATTACTAAAGGAACACAGGCCTAAGCTATTAATAATGAATGTCAGCCACCTTGGGAGGTGCGAATGGCCCAACATCGTGTCATGTTATCAGAGATATCAATTTGAGAATGGTCTCACGACTCTTTTGCTAAAGAGAACAAGTTGGAGACTTGATTTTACTGCACTGATTCTTGCAAGGGTTTCAAGTGGGACAGATATGCTATAGGGACAGAATTGGAGGCTCTCACAAGCACCAAAATAAAAAAAGATAAATTTTCTTGGTATTAAAGCTACAGTAAAATCGGCTCAGAGGAAAAAAAAAAAGAGTCAGATGCGGGGGGGGGGGGGGGGGTTGGAAAGGAGGAATACATGCTCATGCAGCAAACTTAAGTTTATTCAGGGAGAGCATGAATGTTAAAAAAAAAAAAAAAAAAGAACTTGAGAGGCAGCACAGTATTTAATGGGTTCCTTTAGAAGTTTCCCCCCCCCAAAGAGACTGTAAATGTTTAAGGAACATCACAAAATATGTATCATGAAAACCTGAAGTATATTTATGAGGGTCCAAGGGGAAAGCAAAGGGTGGAGGGATGCAACATTTCTGCACATGTAGGATAAATATTACAGGGAGCGTCAACCCTGTGCATTTCCTAGGAAGAGGAGGACATGTTTAGCCTTACAAAGAAATGCACCTAAAGAGATTTTTTCCCCCTTAAAACTTAATTTCATGGGGGGCGGGATGACTTAAGCCAAGGACGTTCATTTGAGTAAAAGGTTTGCTGGAATCAGCTGGGTTTTGCACAAATGACAAAAAAAAAAAAAAGATGTGTAATTACACACACACACACACACACACACACACACACACACACACACACAGTTTGAGGCATTTGTTGAAAGCTAAAACTAAAATTCAGGCCAGGTGTTACTATTTACATTGTCTGGGACACTCTCCCATTTGCTTTCCCTAAAGATACCCTGTTAAGTATCAAAGGAAAACAACGGCCACATTTTCCAAACCTAAAATCTATTAATATCCATCTGTTGGACCTGGGATGTATGCAACTTCTTTCAGGATAGGATTTGATTGGCATGAACCTCATGTTATCAGGTGATAGTAATCATCTGGTGATATTAATGCTGTTACAGCAGTGACACAAATAGGATTTGTCTTATACTTCAGTGGGTTTAAAATGCTGCATGGCATTAATGAAGCAATAATCTCCATATTAAAAAAAAAAAAAAAAAAAAAGTTAGGAGTCAACAGAATAAGAAAAAAAAAAAATCATTCTGATTAAAGCAAATGGTGAACTTAAGCCATCATGTACTGGAAACATCAGCAAACCCATGAATGTCAATGAAAAGTAGTTTTCCAAAGTACTTTTACAGAGGGATATAGTTCCCTTTGCATCTAATCTGCTACTTGACTACAAAAAGGAAACAAGTAAAGACATGAATTTAATCAAAGTCCTCAGAAATGAAAGTTCATCTTATTGGGATAAATCTGGAGAGCTCTGCTAAATTTCCCCTCCATACTGCACACACAGCAAATGACTTCCCCTTCTCCAAGGCACTGGTGCTGCTAGTTCTCAGCCTTGCAGGTGCTATTTCCCCGACTTCAGAGATGGGGACCTGATCCACTGGGTGAAACCACCATCTGCTAAATCACAGAGGTGCTCTCTTATTCCTATAGCCCTCTTACTATTTACAGCTCCTAATTGTGGTAAAGCCGATGATCAGCAAGCTTTTATCCTGCAGCATCCCACCACCAAACTTCTGAGAGCAGATGCAGACTTCTGGGTGTCTGAGGTTGACTGGACCCATGAGCCAAGTCTTTCCATCTCTCTGGCAACTTCCACCCACAAAAAACAAAGGCAACTTACTTCAAGCCAGGATCAGTGCACTGACATGACCTTCAAATGCCAATGTTTTAACCAGGATTCCCAGGAGTTAACACTTTTGAAGGCTATTCATTTGTATAATGAGCCCATTAAGCCACCATGTCAAAAGAAGAAAAAAAATGCATTAACCATTTTTCTCCTAAAACAAGAAGGGCTCAACTTGTATATAGATGAAGCAACATCATTTTTCAGCTTTATTTGCTCTCTGGCAGAGGCCCCATTTAAAAATGGCTCTGCCTGGACTTCTAAATCCACTAGCAAAATAGTATTTATCAGCACATCTTTCTCCAGAAAGAGAAAGTGCAGTCTCTGGCCCTTGCCAAAATACAGCATGGTAATGCAATCAGATACTCTTACTGGCTTATGCTTTTTGGAAACCTCCTTCCTTAGTTGCTTAAGACCTGTGTGGTTGCAGGTGTTAAGTACACAGGACACTAAAACTTCTCTGTTGCTTTCTAAATGAGCTGCCCCACCACCAATAGAAAGATCAGCAGCATTGAGGATAGCACAATCAGATGTGCCCTAACCCTGTATTTCACCTAAATAAAGATCTTCTGAGCCACAGAGCTAAAAACCCATACGCTAACCCTACCCACCCCCCAAACCTCCTTTCTTCCCCCATCTTCTTCACTCTCTGTTTTATAGTGGTCAGCACTCCCAGCAACGCCTTGTTAACACTGCACACCTGCCCTGTGCACACAGCTGACCACTGCAGCCCTTAACCCTGTACTTGACAGTCTGGAGAGAGAGACTTTCCTTTGCAAAGCTTCATTTCTGTTTTCAAGCCTAGCCTTCACATGGCATCCTGCTTCCATCAAATGATGTACGGCAAATGATTATGCAATTCATTTTAAATCTATCTGGAGTAATAGCCACTGGGGGGCTAGCTTGATAGTCACATTCAATTCTCCTTTTTTTGCAAAATCTTGGGCTGACTCCCCCCACCCCCCTTCTAACTCACTTGTGCTCTTTCTTCTGCTACAGAGGCACTCTTAAAGTGACAAGTGAACACTGCTTGCATTGTGGTCTGGTGGCTGGATCCCTGGAGGAAAAGCCATGGATCTGGGCTCTGCCCTTGTCTCTGCCACTCAGCAGCTCCCTGATCTTCAGGAAGTCATAACCCCTCTCTCCTCTCCCGTCCGCCCCCAGCCTTGTCTCTGGCTGGCTCATTTGCTATATCTGCAAAAGGGAGCCTAATGATGTTATATTCCTTTGTAATCTTGCATAGTTTCTGCAGTCAGAACGAGCTCTGAAAGGCCCATTCAGATACAGACAGTCACGGTTCTCTAACGTGAAAGCTGATTTGTGACCCATCTGCCTCTGGAGTGCCACCGCAGAGGGGAGATATTCTGAAAAGCTTGGCCAGACACCATGAAACCTTTCAGCCCTGGTGCTAGCTAGGCACTTTTCTTGCTGAATCCTTGATTGGCATCTTACATGCCAGTTTTATTTCTGGGCATTACAGGATTACTCAACTGGAGAAATTCATGCCTGATTGGAACAAATGGTACATCTCCCTGTCCCCAGTTAAAAGTGCTCTGGAGACCTACAGCTAGTGGGGAGATGACAAGCAAATTACACCAAATAAGCATTTTCACATTGATTTAACATCGAAGCCAGAGTAGGTAGTTTATCAAAGCCAGTGGAAACCAAGGATCTTGGACCTCAAAGTTATTAATCATTGTGGATTACAAAATCCAAGGCTTCTATTAATTTCCCTGACTGCTTCTGTTATCTTCTCAGTTTTTCCTGTCATCTCTTTAAGACTTTCCTTGTAAATTTTGCATTTAAGGCTGTAAGAACACCATTAAAAGATGGCAAGAGGCCTGTACTTTTCTCGTAATGAATTCTCAAGTTACGCTGGATTTTCCAATGCCAAACAAACCAAAGCCACACACCATGATGCACTGACTGCACCCAACAGGCATGCTTCAGTGAGGCCTTCTATTTTTAAACCAGCATTTGCAACAAGCTGGCTAAGGATTGTGCGATTTGCACAGGCCTGTTACTTCATGCAACCGTAAAAGATGAAGAGTAGCTACAAACACTCGGCGTGATACGGCTGCTGATGAAAGAGGCACGCCCTCCTTTTATGCACGTACAACTTTTGTCTCATTCTAGTGTGAAACACAATATCTTAGGGCCCTCTCTTGTAAGCATGTATCACCTGCAATAGATTCTGCTGCATTTTCTTATGCTGGGGTGTAGGGGTAATCCGGGGAGTTATTTGCCAAGTTGTTGTGACTCATTAGAAGCAAGGGTGGTAGAGTCTGTTCCTAAAGGCTAGATTATTCTCTCTCCTCTAGCACAGAGAAAAGACCCTGTTGTCCCCTCAATGACAATGAGGCCCAATTCCTGCTTTAATTGTATCACTCCTGGGATAAAAAGGGGTCATAATCCACCATCATCCCTTACCATGAACATCTTCCCCACCGTTCCACACCTCTTCATTTATGTTGGTTGGTGTGTTGGAGAAGTGGAGTCCATTTTTTTCCTCCTCTTTGGCTAGATACAGATAGTCAAAAAGCCCAGGGCTGAATCAATTCAGTCATTGCAGGTTAGTCTAAACTGCACAGATTAAATTGAAACAAAAGTGAACAGGCATTTACTTTTGATTCAGATATTGCAGCCACATGCTTGCAGTGGCTCTGGCCAGAAGCCAGGGGGTGCTACAACATGACTTCCTTGCACATAGGCAGCATAGGTTGTGTGTTTGCTTCCTTCTTCTGCTGCCCTGAGGTCTCTGGGATTTGCTGTCCAGAATTATAGCAGCAGTACTCTGCAGGGTTGCTCATCACTTCCTCTTCATGCTTCCAGGTGCCTCTGGGATTTATAGTCCACAGTTGCATCCAGCACTAAGTTTGAGCAGGGGAAGGTCTGTTTAACACCCCTCCTTGGCACCAGACCTCAGCCTGGGTTTGCCTGGGGTTGGGGGGGCAGTTCCCCCTGCAGACTGGGCTGCATCCCCAGCCGGGCATGCTCCCTTCCCTCACACCCCCTTGTCAGCTAGCCCTCACTGCTCCAGCTAGGAAGCAGAGGGGCAGGACCAGTTCTGCTTTCTGGAGCAGACAGCACAGCTCAGTCCAAGGCTGGAAAGCATGCTGGGATGCTGGGGGACTGCGATTTAGCCTGAATCAGGAAGGGGTCTGGGGCAGAAGTTCCATAAATTGATTTGACCTAAATCAGTTAAGTGTGATACTACATTCAATCAGGTTTATCTTAAACCAGTTTCAGCCATTTTGAAACTGGTTTATGTGCACTGAGCTTCTGCTCTGTTACAAGTTTAAACCAGTTTCTGATCACTTAAACTGGTTTATGTGTAACTTCTGTCCCTAGCCTTTCTCAATCCACATTGGCCCCATTTATGGAGGCCAGTACTTAGTGTGCTGACCTTGCTTTATAAGAGTGACTAGACGAGGAAAGGTCCTAAAATATATTCAAATCTGGTCCTAAAATTATATTGACTCCATCCTGCAAACTGTTACAGGTAGGTACTCACCAGTATAGCCCCAAGTGTTCTGAATCATGAGTGAGACCCACAACGAAAAGCCATGATCTTTCCTTAAAAATCAAGAAAATGTCTATAATAATGATTTGACCACTGAGCTCAGGATGCAGGCCTGAAGCACGTCGTTGTCAACTCTTGCAATTTGGTCAAGGCATCACGCTTTTTCAGCTCTTGAAGTTAACAACAAGGCTCATGTTGGCTTCAACCCTTCGGCATCAGACCTAATATAAATATGGGTTTCACAAGGTAGGCCACAAATGGCTGTAGAACAGCCTGAATGGCTAAAGTGCTCTATAAATGCTACAGATTATTATTTATATTGTTATTATTGCATTTAAACGGTTGCACTGTTCCAGAGGCAGGTTATACCGAATAAGGAAAAAACCACATATTTTGCTATTGCTTTCATTATTTTTGTTGTTGTTTCGCAATTCAGTGGTTTATAATAAATATGGTGCCCTGAGGGAGCCTCTGTTTGTAGAACAGAGTTCCTTATTCATCATTCATCTGCTATTGAACGCCTTGGCTTTGTTTTACTCTCCTATAGCCGGGAACCCGAACCGTTAATGAGTCTCAAACTATTGATGGTGTTGATTTTTCTTGACAGGTTGAGGGAGAAAAGGAGTCCAAAACTTGTCATCCATATTTTTTTGAGTTTTGTCTGGCATTTCCTAATATACAGGTACCCAGGCCTTTAATGGGGATTTTTTTTAAAAAAAATAAAAATAAATAAATCCAGCTAATCGAATACACCTATAATAGGAGAGCCAGGTGCCAGATAAAATGTATAACATGTTCAGATTATTTCATGTACTCATTCATGGATAGATGGTGACACAGCTTGTACCGTGGTAAAGAAGATGAGATGACCATCATCTTTGCCAACACTAGCGTTCAACTAAGGAAATCCAGAGGTAAAAGCCGGAAGGAGCGCAGATTTAGATATGTTGTTTGCAGTAGGCAAATCATGCCATGGATAAAACTAGGACACCGTTTCACCTGGAGAAAAGGAGAGGAAAGAATCCCATTCTGGGAATCTACCTAACTATTTGAGATACGTTATGGACCAGTTAGCCCAGTATCGAGATGTCTCATGTACAACACCTTTGTGAGATAGGAGACAGCTTTATCCCTATCTTGCATATTGGGAACTGAGGTTCAAACTATTCAGACCCTACCTAATCGGGACCCCAGACCAAAAAATGTAAGGCATCTAGATGCTTTGGAGGATCTGAATCTTGCATCGTCTCACATAGGAACTCTCTAACAGAGTAGGGGATTCAAGTTTCCCAAGTCCTGATCTAGTTCTGCCCAAACCCTGGAAATGTAGAACCAGTGGTAAAAGTGAGAACCTTAATTATTAGTAAAACCCCTTTGTCATTTGGGCTTTCAACTAAAAAGGCTCCATTTAAGCTTCAAAAGGAGATGTTGAAGGCGAGAGGAGGGAGGAAATGCAGAGAAATGGACAAGGATACAAGGAAATTTGCCCAGGTTGTAAAGAAACTGCTACCCATTGCAATAGACTACAATGATTTCCAAATTGAGCTTTAACACTGTGTCCTCACCATCATTTAGTTTTCTCAGATGCCTTGCACAGTCTCTCTGCCTACATGCCCCTCTCCCCCAATGCACAGAGTGAGTGCATAATATTTTACAGGTTGCTTTCTTTTGCTAAATCGATTGCTTGCCCTACTCTCTCTGTAAACCCTTTCCCCCTGCTTCTGAGCAGTCTATTAAACAGCTCCCAGGCAGAACATGGTCCTGTGCAGCGGGGTATCTTTGCTATAAGCCTTAAATTGAAAGCTCTCCTGTGCTTCCCTACTGCGAGGGCCTGCTGAGACAGGCTTCTTTTAATATTGCCTTAATAGGCCCTTCAAACCCAGTTAATTAAGTCCAGTATATCTAGACAGATTTTCATTGCCGGCAGGGACCATGTGCCTTGGCAAAGAAGTGAATATCCTTGCAACATTCATTATCAGTAGATGTCTAGAGAAAGTGGTTATAGCACCGGTGAGAGAATTTGATCAGCTTCTGTGGTTTTGTTTGCTCTGCATGTTTCTAGTGCAGACTACATTCACACTGATGGAAAAAAAAAAAG